ATATTATAATTAAATCCTAATCTACTATATATCGTTGGAAAACTCCAAGACTTCTAAATAGATATTTTACCAGTTTTTTGTTATAAATTATGTAGGAACAGTAATAGATTAATTTATGACAAGAGTGCGCCCTTAAAAAAAATCTACATCATAAAAGGAGTTCTGATCTTTGTCACAAAAAGTCTTTTTTCGTTGCCTTTTTCCCTATCACGTTTTAGAAATCATCATAAAGTATATATCAATTGAAAGCTTAAAATTTCTAAATTCATCCTGTGAAAGCCATTTTAAAATCAGACATTGCATTACCATGGAAATGGTACATCAAAATCATATTACAAAATGTTTTTGTTCATGAATTATAACAATTTAAGTTTGTGCACTTTCATGTCTATGTTCAAAAATGGGGGTGACAGTTAAAGGGTTAAAGGCATAGTTCAGGCAAAAATGAAAATCCTGTCACCATTTAGGCGACTATTCCGCTTCATTTAATTTTAAACCTGCATGCATGACTTTTGTGGAAATTTGAAAAACTGTCTCAATAAAAGTCTATGGTGTCCACTCTTGTTTCACAGAAGTCATACAGGTTCGGTATGACATGAGGGTGAGTAAATGATGACGCAATTTTCATTTTTGAGTAAATTATTATATTATGTACATATTATGTTTCCCTTAAGTTTATCTACTTAAGATCATATGCTGTGTCAGTCATCAGTCTGACACAATGTGACTTCCTGAAAACATGGCACGGAGGCTAAGTTGCTACATGTCTTGCACTTAAACACATAAAGATTAATCATTATTAGCTTTATGTTTTGCACTTTCACACCAGATCTGGAATTGCACATTTCAACCAAATTAAGAGGGTGTGGTTTGTAAAAAAAATAGGTGTAAAGTTTAGTGTAGAAACACTGTGATCGTGGGTGTTTCCTCCTAAAGCACTAAGACGTTTCCGCTCTGAACATGTTTTTTTTTTTAAGGTTGTGTGCATAAAGAGCGAAAGCACATTTAGAAACACATTGAGCGGTTACTGGGGGAACAGAGAGAGGGGGGTGGGTAGGGGACGAACTGTGGTCTACTGGTTCAAGTGAATAAAGTGGAGACTAGATTAAGTTAATATTAAAGCACAGTTCAGGGCTTATGGCAGTAGCCTGTAATGAGGACATCACTCTGAAGTGTGACCATGTAATGCATATATCCATTAGCACACAATAGTAATCTAATCAGGGTAGTAGTTACTTGAATTTATGGGCTCAAGGACAAAATTGCAGGGATTGTCCCAAACTCCTTCATACAGTACTTTACAGCATTGTAAAGACGACTTTAGTGGGTGCAACTCCTCACAGGGCCTGGGACAGTCTGGTTGTGCCCCCCTGTGCATTGACCAATAAGAGTATGCTCAGAAAGATCAAATGGCCATTTGTTATATGGAAGTGCTTTTTTTAACTTTGGTAAAATTCTAACATTTATTTCGAGAAGTTCAAAACAAGAAACAAAATCATACTGTGAGATTTAAGTCACATTTATGAGAAGTCACAATGTCTATTCTGAGATGGAAACAGGCTTATAATGTGTTGCTGAAGTGGAACCAAATGTAAGATAACTGAGCTTCCATTAGGAATCATTTAAAAGATTCAACACATTGCTCACCAAAAGGGATGGCATATCTAGGAGTATAACCAACTGACAGTGTTGTCTTGCAACGAAGCGAAAGACGAAACAAAGTTCAGTTGTCACCGAGAATACAGGACCTCTTTTTATCTTATGACTTCTCTTAAAAAGTTGCCTAATTTGTCATCTCGCCACTGCCATTTCCTATACCAAAAGCCCATGTGGAACTAAAGTGACAGTAATCCAATTGTATTAAGTCAGAAGTGTTTTTCCAAATGTTACTTCATTTTGCATTTCAGGTGGAAGACTGCATTTGCTTTGAAATGTTCATATTGTATTTGATTTTCTTTTTAGATTATCACTGTCTATGCGTCAAGAATACAAGAAGTTCCTGTGTTTTTTTTTCTACAGCTAATATTTATGTTTCCAAAATGCAAAGCCAGAGAATCTAATACTGTTGTAGTTCCTAACATGGCTGTTGTTTTTATCAGAACAGGAAGTATCAAGATTAGCTGCTTTTGCTGTGTTGATAAGTAATGTCTGTGTATAAAGAACTCACCAAAACCACACTGAAGCGTTCTTCGAGCTCTTCCTCAGGAGGAATGGGTAGTTTCGCAGGGGCACATTTCTTTTTGGGTGTGGAGGGAGCAGTGTTTGACCCTCCTGTTGAGCCTTTGGCCTCCGGCCCATCCACCTGCTCCAACCCGCCGGCTGCGTTACCCATCACAACTTTCCTTAGGAATTCCAGGATACTGAACTCTTTCTGGATCAACCACTAACAATTCCAAAAGGCCAAACTCTGGAGGAACCCAGACAAACCTCTCTGCAATCCACAGGTAAAAATCCACTGTTTGAAGTTTTGTAGTCACTCAGATCCAGTGTAGGTGGAAGCACATGGAGTCTTTTTAGCACATGCTGTCAGAGAGCATGGATACCTTTCAAACCAAAAACGGTGTCCAGGATGGTGTTAATGAGGATGAGAACTTAAAATCAAACTCAAACTCGATTTCAAAATGAAGGGTAAAAAGAACTTTCACTTTGCTTAGTCAAAAAAAGGAAGAAGAAAAGCCTCTGTTTATACTTTCACAATAAAGACAATAGAGGTCCTTTGAAAGTACAGCTCTTCAGCCTCTCAGTGCGGCTGAGTGTGTTGATTACCAGCGTAACAGGCCTTTTCTCCAGTTGTCTGCCTCTCATGTGAGTGCTTCAGATGTTGGAGCATCTTCCTTTATGTCCAGCCCCACTGATCAAGCCTGCAGAAGTTTCTTCCAGAAGAATATACAGATGTTGGCAAATTGACGAAGGCACCTGTCCGAGCACACTGCTGTGTGTTACAGAAATGAGAGAGAAGCAGTTGTGACAGCAGGAGGAAACCACAGAAAAAAGCAGAAGCATCCACGCTTCCTGTATACCTCGCATTAGAGAGAGAGAGCATGCTGGGTGTGTCGGTTTAAGTTCTGTTTGTATTTAAAAAATATGATGATCTAAAACATATCACACCACTCATGTGCATATTATGTACTGTATGTATGTTACGACACTGATGCTGTTGATCAGGGCTTGTTGTCACAAGGTTACTTGTCTTCTAATTTTTTCCAATTCTGTCCTAATATCTATTTTTTGTTGGCCTAAAGCATTTATAAGTCTCAGTTCATTTCAACATTTACTAATACGTAAATAAAACCAAAAAGTGACTGTTCATATTATTTAATGGACCTGAGCTAACAAGAACAGTTGTGTTTTCATTAACCAATACATTTATTGATAAATACTATAACAAATATATTGCAGATTGATAGTTAATGTTAGTTAATGCATTAACTACCATAGCTAATGGGACCTTACTGTAAAGTGTTACCTTTGTAATAGCTGTTGGGTAAACAACTGAACACAATAAAACCACGCTGGCATTTTTATTTGACTTTTAAATTTTTTTTTATTTTACAGATTATCACATTTGTTTAATATTGTATATTACCGATTAATTTTTTTATTGTATTTTAATTGATTAAATATTTATCATTGGCTTAATTTATTATTTACTGTTGTGTTCTGCTGGTCGTAAATATGTTACGGTTTAAATGTATAATACGCTATAAATACGATACTACGCTAATTAAAGAACAGAATTATTTTATTTATTTATTTTTCCCCTCAGGCAATAACAGTATAAAGGTTCTATAGCTTTTTCAAAGCCAAGATGGATGGATAGATAGATAGATAGATAGATAGATAGATAGATAGATAGATAGA